AAAAATGAGAATCAAGACCTATTATGTAAAGGTACAGAATCCCAATGATGAATGTAATTGTATTGTATGCCTAGATTGTACCAATAACCTCAATAAAAAGAAAAAAAAAGCAAACAAACAAACAACAACCGAGGTGCTCCAGTCTTCACCTTCATCCTTTTTTTTTTTTTTTGGTACCAGGGATCGAATTTGGGTCCTTGCAATTACATGGCAGGCAGCAGAACCACTGAGCTAAATCCCGGCCCTTCCCCTTCATCTTGACCTTGATCTTGAGTGTCACCTCCAGGGAGCTAGCATGCCTGGCTAAGGTGATCTTGCAAATCTTTATATACTTATATATCTTATATTAAATCTGTGCCGTGAGTAAGCAGCGACTGATACAGATTTGGGCACCAGGAGCGGCTCTAGACAAACAGAATTGGACAGATGAAATTCTTTAATGATTTTAGTGGTTCCTGGAGTTGGCTCTCTAATTTTTTTTTTTTCCCGGTACTGCAGATCGAACTCAGGACCTTGCGCTTGTGAGGCAGGCACAGTGCCACTGAGCTAAGTCCCCGGCCTGGCTCTCTGATTTGTTGAGACCTGCAGATACCATGGTCTCTCCTTCTGATGGAACTATTAACTTGCCACATTTAACAGTCTGAACTAGATTTGTGGTTATATAACAAAATAGAACGAGCTATTTAAATGCGTGCGATAAATAAGCCCTCAATACGGTGATTTTACCCTAAGGGGAGTAGATTTAGAATGGGTTAGGGGAATAGAGAGATACAGAAGAGAGTGTAGAAGAAAGACTGGGGGACAAAGGAAGACCATACAGACTTTGGGAAACTGGAGAAGACAGGAGGGAAAGACGGAAGAAATAAAAGCAAGATCAGAACGGAGCAACTACAACAACAAAAGTTCAAACTATGGGGCCGGGGATTCAGTTCCGTGGTTCCACCACCTGCCTCACAAGTGCGAGGACCTGAGTTCAGTACCTGGTTCCAAAAAAAGAAAAAAGAAAGAAAGAAAGAAAGAAAAAAAAAGAAACTGTGGTCACACTCATGTAAAAACAAGAACAATCAAGAAAAAAGAAAATAAAAAAGCAAGAGCACCCCAGTATCCCCCCCAAAAGCAAGAACAAAAATCAAAAACGAGGAGAAGAAAAGAAAAAGGAGAAGAAAACAAGGAAAAAAAAAAAGAAGGAAAAAGTGCAATTCAAGGTATGCATTTGCTGTCACAGGTAGAGACAATGCAGGCTGACTGAATCCAGATCCAAGGCAAGGTGTTTAACCCCAGTTAGCCTGGCACGGATTTATGGTGGGGTAGTGGATGATCCCAGCAAGCCTGGACCTTTAGTCACACTAAAGTTCAGGCTGATTTCGAGCTATGAGTCTGGGCCTGGATTGGCGCCTCCTGCCCGCTTGAACTCAGCACCTGCCCAAAACGCCAGGAGCCACTGGATTGAGCCGCGGCCTGTGGCTGTTGAGTTCCCAGCTCGACCGCTCCCTTTCTAAGGTGGCTACTGCCCAGCCGCCTCCTCCTGGGTGATGTCTGAACCGGGTAACTCAGCAGCCCCTACAGCCCACCGCATCCACTGCTCCGTCCCACCGGTGTGGTTCTCCGTGGAGGCCTCAGCGGTCACGAGTGCTCACCGTGTGTCTGGAGCCCGGCTCCCCCTCCCACGCCGTGAGTCCAGACTCGGACAAAGTCCGCGGCCGTCTCCCCTGTCCTTGTTGAAGTCTCTCTCTTCGCTCTCCCCATGGACATCAATTCTCAACTCTTCTTCCTGGGCCCTGGGGTCCCCCTCCCCTCTGTTCTTTCTCTGCTGCTCACCACTCCACCAACCCAGAGACTGTGACTTTGTTTTTTTTTTTTTTGGTACCAGGGATCTAACTCAGGACCTTGTACTCGGGAGGCAGGCTCAGCACCACTGAGCCAAATCCCCAGTGCAGCTGTGACGGTTTTAAACCTGTGCGAAGGCGCTGAGCTGTGGGGGGGGTGCGATGGCCCATAGGGACCCTCGATGACCAGCATGAGGAAGCAGGGATAAATGAGGTTTGCTGGAGGGATGTCAAAGACTCAAAAAGGGGCTGGGGGTGGCGGCATGTGGTGGCACAGGCCTGTCATCCCAGCCACCCGGGAGGCTGAGGCAGGAGGATTGCAAGTTCAAGGCCAGCCTGGGCAATGTAGCAAGACCCTGTCTCAAAATAAAATTCAAATAGGGCTGGGGCTCAGTGGTGAGTGCTTGCCTGGCATGCACGAGGCCCTGGGTTCCAAAACAAACATAAAAAAGAAAGACCCTGCCCCAAAAAGCCCAAATGTTTGTTTCTGGGCTCCTGAGTAAGGATGATTCAGAGGAAGGTTGGAGAAGGAAGCTCGGCCCCAGGGCAGACCTGGGGCCTGGGGGTCCCGGATGGAGGACCAATGTGCCAGATGTCAGCCAGGGTGTTGAAACTCAGCCACGGCAAACCACAGGCAGAGGGAACAGGATGCTTGGCACCAGTGAGAGCTCCCCAGGGCCCCAGGACGGGGGCTCGGCCAACAGCTTGGGGTCCCCGGCCTTTTTCATTCTGAGATGGGTTCTCTCCACTAAGTTTCCAGGCTAGGCTTGAACTTGCCATCCTCCTGCCTCAGCTTCCCAGAGTGCAGGGATAACAGGCACTCACCAGTTTGGCTTGGTGACTCTACTTCTGGGTAACGCTCTGACCCTACCCTTAGATTCCAGGAACTTACAGGGTGTTGCTATGTAGTTGAGGCTGGCCTTCAACTTGTGATCCTCCTGCCTCAGCCTCCCAAATGCTGGGATTAACAGCGCGCACCACTATGCCCAGTAATCCCAGCAACTTTTAACAGAGCGTCACAGACAACCCAAGAGCTTGCCAAGTGCTAATTCATGGAACTTTCAAGCAGTTCTGAGATTAAGCCTATTTTCACAGCTGCCATTTTAGAGAGGAAGAAACTGAGTCACACGGAGATGAACTCAGTGGCCTGAAGGGACACAGAGGTGACCTGGATATAAATGCAGAGTCGACACATAGTCTTCATGCTGTGTAGGAGTGTGGTACACAGGGGTGCTCAACAGATG